TTTCCTGCGTCTGTGTCAGCCCGTCCCCGGGGAACGGCAGCGTCTAGGAAAGCGACCTGCTCCAGGAAAAACAGCTCCTTAACAGCGTCATTCCTGCCCTTTAGTGTCACCATTTAAGAACATTGAATTCAATCCCCTGTTGCAGCCCTCGGCGTTCTCTGCAGCTTCAGGAGTGCCAGACCTAAGGCTGCCCCAACACTCCTCACTTACACCCTCCTCCCTCGCTGTCGTGGCACAGGTATTGCACAAGGAGGTGCTTGCATACCCCTAAAACCATCTAATTCCGGGTCTGGAACGGGTGCCACACCCCAGATGTCGCTGTGCTCAGCGTTGAGGCCACACTCTGTCACCGGGACTTCAGCTTTACCCTGGTTAAGGAATTCACCTCTCAGTACAGGCTTTCCGACAGCGCTTCTCGCTCACCACAGCGTCCCGCAGTGACAACCAGCAACCAGTCCACACTTACCTCTTACTTTTCAAAGTTCTCAGGACTTGACAAGTAAAATAAATTTAAAATACTTTAAATTATAATAATAAAAAAAAGGTCGCAGAACAATTCCCCAGCAATAACAACACTCCCACTACTGCACCTTCTCACCCAGCACACGCCTCTGCTCCGGGGGCAGGGCACACGGCAGCAGCGCTGACAGGACACCGTGCCAGGTACCGACGAGCTCCCGGCAGAAGCGCGAACTCCCACAGCACGGCGTTTTGCAAGTTTCTGCCGGCTGCACAAAACCTGTGGTTTTAACCCCTTGGATTCTAGCCCAGACTTTGGAGAGGCTGATGATTCAGTAACCACTAACGCCACTGGTCTTCCTCCTCCTCAGCTGTGAGAGCTACTGCTCCCGACCAGCCCCAGCGTACAGCTGGTAGCCAGGCAGAGAAAAGAGCAGCTCCTTCAGCGCATCTTCACACAACCAGTTCCTCACCCAGTCCCTCCGGCCACCCAACTTCACGTTCCACTCCAAAATCTTTGTCCTCGGCTCAGCCTGTCACTCCCTGGCCCTGCCCCAAAAGCAGCCACGGCGAAGCAGCAATGCTGGCAGAGGCATCTCGGCAGGGCGATCCCTCGGGACGCAGCAGCAGCCCACCCGCCCGCTGCTCCTCTCCCCCACGGCACATCAGTGGGGACGTCGCGCCGGCTACAGAAGGCGTTGTCCGGGCAGAGCTGCAGGGTGCTTTGGGAGAAGGCTGCAGGGAGGTTTCCCGTAAGGACAAAATGGGGAAAAAACCAGAAGCTGCTGCGAAAGGTTGTCTATCCGCATCACCCCTCCCAACGGAGATCCTTGAGCAGACGCTCTCAGAATCACAGGGTCGCTAGACAAACAAAATAAGAGCTCTTGGGAACAACAGGCTCTTCCACAAAACCACCTCTGGATCTCAGAGCAAACCAAGCAAACCTTGCACTAAGCAAAGCAAATCTCACACCGCTTTCACATGAACCTTACCATCTCGTGAGCCTTCCGCTGCTCTTGGTCGAAAGGGTGAAGCACTTGCAGCCCGCAGATCTCACACACGTCCCCGTGGAGGTACAGGCAGCGATCTCCGAAGTGGCACGCTCCCGCCGCAGCGTACGGACACAGCTGCTCTCCATCGGCACAGGAGCTCCCAGCCACCGCCTCTTCCAGTCCACTGCAAATGGCTTCCAAGTACGAATGGGGCTTCACTTCCAGGTTATCGTTTTGGTCACTGCAACACACCACGTCGCCTGGGGCACTGGGCTTCAGCTTTTCTTCATTCGAGCCACACAGATCTTCAGAAACAGAAGCATAACATGAACCACAGAAGACACAGCACAAAACCCATGCAAGAAGCTCCATAAATTTTCTTACCAATGATTACCAGTTGTTGGTTTGGTTTTTTTTCTTCTCAACAAAATCTCATCTCTAAGCCTCTTTTGTTCACAAATCACAAGAAATTTCACAAACTGCCTACTGAAAAGTTTGACTTCAAGACATTTTCAGCTGTTTTCTGTTTACAAATAGGCTAAAACCCCCTCTCACTCGCCACGAGGACCACTGGCCCACGCGCCACAACACTGAGAGCAGGCGGGCTGGCGGCGGGGCCTGGGCTCGGCTCCCCTGCCCTGCCTGCCAGAGGCAGCCCCAGCTTCCCCAGGGCT